ATAAATAAAGTAGGGTTAAGGTTATGTGCAGTTTAAAGACAGATGCCATTGAATTAGATAGGGGACAGAAGATCTGGACTCAGAAAGGAGAGACTTGCAGAGAAAGGAAAAATAACAAATAAGAGGAAGAAACACATTAAGTTTGGCGTTTCTTTAGGAAATAATTTTATTTTTAATTGACATTTTTTTAAGGAAATATTTGGGGTTGGTTTTAGGAAGTGTATTTCATATTTGGGGTTTCTTTAAAAATCATTTTATTTTTATTTTTAAAGTAAATATGAGTGTTGAATTGTCAAAAAATAATATATGTGGCGAATTTTGAATGGAAGTATCACCAGCTGACGTGGTGATACCGTACTATTCTATAATTTCTCGGTTTTAGGAAGTGTTAAGTTATTTAAAACAAGAAAGGTTAGTACTGGTAGGAAAACTTGGTTTAGATAAACGAAATCTATTAAAATTCAGCAACTTGACTTTATATATATAAAGCATAAAAGGCAGAGAATGGTGAAGCATTCAAAATACCAGAAAATGCCCTTGGTTAATGCAAACATTAAGAATTGAAATTATTAATTAAATGAGGATAATATGGTAAATTCACACTTTTTCTTATTTTAAAAAATTAATATTAAAAGAAAAATCAGATAATGGATCATATTTTTATGGAAAACAACTACCCATTATCTTTTTTAATTCTAAAATAAAATTTAAATTAAAAAAAAAAGCCTCTTGCAAGCGCGAAAGCGCGTGCGGAGAGGCTAGTATATAGTATATGTGAGTTGAACTTTGCTATTGCTTAGTTGGAATTACTCTAAATTGATCTGATGTGTCCCGCTTCCATTCTTATTTGAAGGGATACTTCAATTGCACCTGTTGATGCGAAAAAGTGGTTTGGCACTTTTTGGTCTCAACTTAGTGATATTGGGCTTTGTGTATGCTTTGGGCCTCAGTAGAGCGTGTGATCTGCAAAATGAGAAACACTCGGTAAGACCTAGGGCACCGGTGTGGTACCGGCCGAAGGCTCTCCGATGCTTGAGTAAGTACGGATTTAGTAAATGAAACTGACAGAACAATAGGTAGTATGCCGTAAGTTCTGATTACCTCCATTTTGGGACTGTTACCCTCCTTTATAGGCCTTGGGAGGTGTGCATTTTGTTTAGAGTTTCGATGTGGGACTGTAGAGTGGAGTTTCCCTGTTTCCATTTCTCCTGTTGCCACCTGTTTCTTTCTTATTTTATTGACATGTGTCCTCACTTAACATGCCACAAAACACTGTTAACTTTGAATCAAATTATTTATAAATAAAAAAACTCAAAATTGAAGTAAAAGATAAAACGCAGCAGCCACCCCCCCGGACCTCAACCGCCACCCACCACAACCACCCCACCCTAGAAGGTGGTGACAATCCCTTTTTATTTTTATAGATGCAATCATGGAGGCGTTACCCTTGAGACAAACAACAAGCCTAAACAGGACAGACTAGCCGAGTTCTAGTCACCCTCACCCTTGAGACATCATTAGCCAATATAGAGCTCACCCAAACAGGAGGAGTCGCAAAGGCATAAAATCCCAGGTCCACATTGTAGCTCCAAGAGGCAAGACAATCAGCCACACAGTTCTTTTCTCTATAAATATGTTGCACCACACAATTGTCAATATTCTTCATGGAGACGTTGTTGTCTTTGGATTGCATTGATTTGGGAATAGCTAGGCCATGAAGAATATTTGTGGGACATGCGAAGAACAACTTTCAATTTTCAATCCTCACTCACACATCAGAAAACAAGAGTTTTCTATTACTTAAAAAATGGGATATCCCTCCACCCTGGGAATGTAGAGGCAAAGGAAGGGGAAAAGAGTGCATGTTTGTTGAAATGAAGGGACCATAAAAGATGAAGGCATAGATGTGGATTTGGATATGTTGCCATCGCTGCCTGGGGGTGGTAGTGGGTGCCGGAGAAGATGAAATGACCGTGCTTTTGAATAAATTTATTTTAACATTTAATATTTTGTTAATAAAAATGACACTTAACAGAGTTAACCTTCTGTTAAGTTAGAGGACACATGTCAATAAAATAAGAAAGAAACAGGTGGGAACAGGAGAAATGGAAACAGGGAAACTGAATGCGTAGACATGGGCTGTGAGCGTGCCACCTGTCCTGATGAGGGATTTGCCCTAGTCGCAAGATCGGTAGGCCAGGTGCCGAAGGCAACCATGACTGTGCTCTATTTGTCCACGTGTCTTGTTCTTATTGGCTGTTGATTCTGGTATAAACAGCACCAGTTGGTTTTATTAAGTTTATTACTGGCATATTTCCACTACTTCAGGTATGATTTGCTTTCAATTAAATAAAAATTCCCTACCTGTGATCCAGACTATATATATTTTTGTTAAATAGTTCTTATTTAATCAATAATACAAGTGAGAGTTTTGCTCATGACTTCTGGTGTTATTACGGAAGTGTTCGTTTATGTTTTACTTTTATTATTTATTATGGAAAAGTCATAAAAAGCCTGAATTCTGATATCGACATTTGGAATTTTCTTGACTGGTTACTTTCACGAACTTTGTCTACTTGGTTAGTGGCATTATAGTTATCTTCTATTTTAATTTTTGGCAGCTATTTTTCATGTGATCTCACTGCACCTTTAAAAATCTGATTTCTTGGGGTAGCCTTTTAATAACAGTAACCATCAAGTGGCTTCGTTGATGTGCTGGTGATCGGAGTTGAAAAATTGGAAGTAAGCATATGTGCCTTTTTGCAATTGATTTGTACAGAAATTGAATCTGATTCTCTAATGCTCAGTTCATCTTTAAGTGCTGAGAAATTTGAACTTTCTCCTGTTATACATTTCGTAGTTAACGATGTTTACTGGTCAACTGATCTTTAAGTGCTTTAGAACACTGACCTTCATCCTGTCAATGATATATACAGTATATACACATCCATATACGTAATTATAATATAGTATGGGGTTAGATTTATCTTTTCCTGCAATTATTTTGCAGATTTATGCTGGTTCGTTCTTTGCAATTCCTTTGTTCCGGTGGTTCATCGTGCTTAAGACAAATGCAGAAGTTCTAGGTTTCATCATATTTGACTTTTAGTAATGCATTTTGATGTTTTGCTTGCATGCATGTGTACTTGTTAAAATTGAATCAGTGTGTCCAAACAAGTAATTAATAGGCCCAGGATAACAACTAATGAATCTCCGGTAGTGCCTTTCACTTACTGATTACCCGATAAATTTGTACGTATTTTTTCAGGTACTAGAGGTACTAGTTGACTTCTTAGAAGAACATTAGAATTTCACAACTTTTGGTGCAAGTAGTTGATGCGCCAGTGATGGTACCTGCATTTGTTTGAAGTGTACATTCTGAAGTTTTTGTGGGGTGCAGCAGGAAATGATACCTTGTAATATAGATTTCAGGTGGACAATAACACTATTTTTCATATGAAAGATTTTAAGAATCACAAGGCTCATATATATGTTTTAGGATCCCCTTGATCTGCAATTTGTTGAATCTTGGACACGAGTGGTTCGCTGTGCCAGTGAAGATCACCACCTGGGAGGCCAAAAAAGGAGTGCAACGGGAATCCTATATCGATTGTTAGAAACAAGAGCATCATAGTAGAACGTTAATGGGTGATTTTTGTTGGGCATTTCCAAATGCAATGTCATAACAATTGGGGTTTGTAATTGTTTCTCTGCTTCAATTAAGAAAAATTTAGACTGCTTAGAACTGAAAAGCGAAGATTGGTCATACTTATGGCTGGTTATAACTAAAATAGTTCCAATCAAATACTAACCCCTCCTGTCCAAGAGGGCTTCAAGGAGTATAAGCTATTGCTTTGACTATCATATTGGGGATTGATATATAAGTTTATTCAACTGTATCCAAATTTCCAATTGGGAATTATCAATGATAATCATTGATCATTTGTTTTGGCTAATTTGCTGAAGAAATGTTACGTACAATGAGTAATTCAAAGAATTTGTTATGAATGCATGACTACCATATTCAAGGCGATCGAATACAGAGATTTCAACCCAGTAGCCCCGACAAGTGGGAGGGTCTGCACTTTCCCTATCATACAATTCTACCAGACAATTCCATTTCATTCATTCTTCCTAGCATCCTCATGCCATGCATAGTATGAAATTTAGTCATGATGACACTGAAAGCAATGGATCAACTAAGGCTGTGACTGTTTTTCAATCAACAGAGCCAGTTCAAAGGGTCCCAAATCTGTATTGCACCAGTAATAGCTACTCGGAGTTACAGACCAAAAAACAAAATCGTCACTCGGAGTTAAAAACAGATTTACAGACTGCAAGAAGAATATAAACAAGGGCCAAAGTATTCTTGACATAACAGTCATATCCACTACTAGCAGTATCTCAATCAGAGAAGCAATACATCTTAATGTCAAAGATATTCACACTCAAATAATAACCCGATGCCCAGAGGTGTTCGCATCCAACCAAGATGATTGGGTCAGATAATGACAAAGCAGATTATTCCCACGGTTAAAAAGTCTTGAGAAAACCCCTGCACAAACAGATTGTAAGATGTACCCAGAAGAATGAATGTCCCTAAGCAAGCCAGGACACCAGTATACCTGCACAATGAGCATATTTAAAAACTTAAAAATACGAATTTATACAAAAATGTATTTCACAGTTAAGTTTACCTTTGGAATAGTGGATTCCTACACAACATTTAGAAATTTCTATATCCAACACATAATTCCCTAAAATTTCTATATCCAAATGCTAACCGTGTTCCCTGACGCTGCCTCTGTCAGAGACAAGCAAACCCAGAATATTCCACATCAAGTTTTCCATGATGAAATAATCACAGAAAATTCTCCTTTTTGCAACACTGAAATTAAAAAGAACTTACAAGTATTCCCTTTTTTTTTTTTTTAATCTCAAGTCACAGCTAATTTACCAGAGAAGAATAAAAACAATAAATAGGTTCTCTGATGTTCTTGTGTATATATATACCCGTATATCTTCTCTACCTTCTTAGTCATGGTTGGCACTGACAGAGGAAACTGAAGCCTACCGTTTAGTTACTTCCATATTGACCCTGCCAAGCAAGGAAAGTATTTCGATATGGTAATCAGACGGATAGTTAAATTAGAAAATTGTAAAGTTGTATCCCTGTCCATAACAACACATAATTATATTGTACATTAAGTTTTGTTTTTGTTCTTAGAATAAAACACTGTCTAATAACTGCTTCTGAAATGCAGGGGATCCCGCAAAGGAGCCGTTAACTCTTTTCTTTTTCGATTTCCATTTCGCCCTAGGGCACTCTTCCGTTGCTTGTTTGTATTTGATGCAAGGAAAGTTCCAGATGTTGGTATTGAGTTTGTGTTGGCGTTTGTTTGACAGTTTGAATAGGATATAATATTGCTGTCACTTCATAAAACAATTTCTATAAAAATGTCTCTGTTAAAAATTAAACTATAGGCTGTTTGACTCTTGAATAATTTGACTGTGTCTGCTACATTAGCTGGTCTAAATTTTCTGGTCTTTGGCAAATTAGAGAATAGAAATACTACCGGGATTTGAGAGTTTCTATATAGACTTGCTCTCATCTGATGTTTATTTAGTATTTCTCATTGAAATAAGGAAATCACATTTTGATTGGGAGGAAAAGTGTTTCTACTTGCGGAGAAAGAAAGAAGGCAACTACTTTTCATTGGAAAATCCGGATATTGCATGTACTTACATGCACTCTCTTCCAAGACAGTCGGCTTTTTAGCCAATAACGCTAAGCTTTAGTTTTTTTTATTTTTTATATTCCAATTAGGATTTGGTTTATTTCCTGTTTTTGATTAAGTTTTCCTCTATTAATTAGGGCAATTATATGTTTTTTGTTGTTAAATATGAGGACTACAGTTATAAACGACAAGTATATGTAATGGGGTCCAATAAAAAAAATTAAAAAGAGAGTAAAAAAGTAGGGTTAACGCATATGTAGAAAAGAAAAAAGAAAAAGAAAATAGGAAACAAAGTCTACAATTGTACAAGATTTTAGTCTACTACACAAATTAGGAAATAAATCTCCTCTAATTAACACACGCCAAAACATACATTCATTAATTTTTTTATATAAAGCGTGTAAATCCTTTGGTGCAGCACAGCACATAAGCCAACATAAGAAATCAGAAAACCTAGAGCTGATAGAATAGATCAGAGAGCTCCAAAAAGAAAAACAACAATGGCGAGGAGGCTACGCGTGATGGGAATTCCGGAGGGGGCCGTGGCGGACGATACTGATACCAACAGTAGGTCTCTATATATATGTACCTACAAGTGCAATAGGAGGAGTGGTCATGCTCGTTACGATATCTGCGCCATCGGATTGAGCGACTTATCATCCATACTCAAATCCAAATCTCAATTAAAGATTGACAGATTAGAGTTGCTGCGAAAACTGGCTTCTGTGGAGGGCAAGGATGTTCCCTACTCGATGGGTTGCTGTTTGTTCGGCTCCCAAATTCTTCTTGCCGGTGGCTTCAAACCGTACGACCCGGAGCAGAACACGACGTTTATACAACTAGATGCGGGCACACAAATTTATCTGTTTGAGACAGATGATGATGAGAAAACAAAGGCCAAAGTTTACAATCACAGTAACAGTTTTGGATCTTTTCCGCCTCCTCGTTGGTATATAGTGAGATGAAAATGGGACATTGATTATTGTTTAACATGCAGGCACGGAATTGAAATGTGACGCCGGATAGAATGGTGATTATTCTACAGGTTAGTCGTTTCAAGAACTCCCAAGAAATATCACAATGATCTCACGTAAATTAGAGAGAGATTCTCTAAATAAATTCGGATATCCGAATGAATAAAATTGAATAATAAAAAGTCCCCTAAATCAGTCCTCAAACCGGACTTAAATAGTTCTAACAATCCCAAAACAATTCCTAAAAGAAAAAGAGTTTAAACTGAAACAAACAACTTCCTAAAAAATAAGAGTTCAATGCGGAATGAAATTAAGAGTTCAAAGTTACGGCTTTCCGGACGTCTTCCTGTCTTTGCGTTGATCTTCCAGCTCGTGGTAGTTCAACGCCATCACTGTGCAATCAGACAACTCAGCATCATCTGTATCAGATGCCCCTGCATCAGTCACCCCGGGTTGGAAAGAACTCGACCTCGAGGTCGCGGCATCATCCGAATCCCCAAAGCACGGACTGAGATGTTTCACATTAAAGACATCAGAAGTCTTTAAGTGACTAGGCATACGTAATCTGTAGGCATTATCATTAATCTTCTGTAGTACCTCACACGGCCCAATCTTCCGCTCCTTAAGCTTATTATATGCACCAATAGGAAAACGATCACGAGTTAGGACAGCCCAAACAAAGTCACCCACATCAAAAAGGACCTGACGCCGACGGCTATCAACCCGCAACTTGTACCGAGCATTGCTTTCCTGGATAGCTGACTGCACCTGTGCATGGATGCCTCGAAGATGCTCTGCCATCTCATCGGCCTTAGGACTAAAACGCCCTACTCGTGGAATAGGAACTAAATCCAAAACGCCGGAAGGATTCCGCCCATAAACAACCTGAAATGGGCTCATACCAGTGGTCCTATTCGTGGACCGGTTGTAGGCAAATTCTGCCTGTGGTAAAGCCAGATCCCATTGCTTTGGTTTGGTGCCTGACAAACACCGCAAAAGGTTGCCCAAACTCCGATTCACCACCTCAGTCTGACCATCCGTCTGGGGATGATAAGCACTACTGAAATTTAACTGTGTACCAAGCCTGCCCCATAAACTTTTCCAGAAATTACTAATGAACTTGGTATCACGGTCTGACGTTATAGATCGGGGAACTCCATGTAGGCGCACAATGTCCTTAAAATAAAGATGGGCAACCCGAACAGCATCCATCGTTTTTCTGCATGCGATAAAATGGGCCATTTTAGAAAATCTGTCAACCACAACCAGTATAGAATCCGAAGCCCTCTGAGTACGGGGTAAACCCAACACAAAATCCATACTGACATCAAACCAGGGAGCCTCAGGTACTGGTAAGGGCGTG